TAATATTGAAATAACCGTTTTTTACTACATGCATATGAATATATATACGGTACATACACCAAAATAACATTTTTTATAATTTTTGTCTCTCTGTCTGTTGGTCTGTTTGTTCCGGCTAATCTCTGAAATGGCTTAACCGATTTTGACGAGACTTTTATTGGCAGGTAGCTGATGTAATAAGGAGTAACTTAGACTACTTTTATTTTAGAAAAATAAAGTTAAAAAGCACGCGGACGAAGTCTCGGGAACAGCTAGTATATAATATAAAATCCTTGAGAAACCTGTTATATAAAATATTGTTTATAATACTTTTGTACCTAATTATTTTTCATACCTTAATCATATAAATATAAAATCTCAAAAGGCAATGTTTTTTTTTCTTAAGTCATTAAAAAAACAAAAACAGTATTTCGCTGACAGTCTCAAGAAATTGTTCTTCATGTCAGTACATTAACATAATAATTTATTTATTTGAGTGTATGTTGCGTTTTCATTATTTATTACCACAGTATAATCATAATGTATGCAAATTATGCAAAACACTCGACACAAGGCTGAGTCTTTGCGGTCATTTGGAGGACAAGGCTAAAATAGCCTCAAAAAAGCTTGGTGTGCTCAGTAGAGTGAGACGGTATTTCACGGCGGCCCATCGCTTGCAATTATACAAGGCGCAGATCCGGCCGCACATGGAATACTGTTCTCACCTCTGGGCGGGAGCACCACAATACCAACTACTTCCATTTGACCGCATTCAGAACCGAGCAGCCAGAATCATTGGTAATCAACGTCTATGTGACAGACTCGACCCATTGGCTTTGCGGCGTGATATTGCATTCTATCGCATATATCACGGGCAGTGTTCTGAGGAATTGTTCGGATTAATACCAGCTGCTGAGTTTCACCACCGTACCACCCGCCAGAAACTGAAATACCATCCTGATCATCTGGATGATACCGGTCTTCCACAGTGCGGTTTTCTAGAAACTTTTTGCCTCGCACAACCACATTGTGGAATCACCTTCCAGCAATGGTATTTCCGAACCGATACGATATTGAAACCTTCAAGAAAAGAGCTTATTCCTTTTTAAAAGGCCGACAACGTACTTGCAATTCCCCTGGCGTTGCGGGTGCTCATGGGCGGCGGTAATCACTTACCATCAGGTGAGCCGCATGCTCGTTTGTCCCCTCTGTTATAAAATAAAATAAATAGTTTTTTTCTTTATTATGTTCATATATATTTTAATAAATAAAATATACATGAAATAGTTATTATTACCTTTACATAGTATAAAACGAAGTCGATGTCGCTGTCTGTTCATCTATCATACATAGGGACGGGCAGACAGCGACAGCGACTCTATTTTTTACTATGTGATGATAATAATTTTTAGGAAAAAAAAGTACTGAAAGAAAAAAGAAACTCCGTATTTTTTATTATTTTACAACAAGAAAATTGCGAAAGTTTCTTAGTATGGATGGATGTTTGTTATTCTTTAAGTACTGAATGAATTTTGATGAAACTTTACAATAATAGAGCTTACGCATCAGAATAACACATAAGCTATATATTTTATTGAAGTTTAACGCGGCTAAAACAGCACAGCTATTATAAAATAATAATAATTTGTAAAAAATAGAACGCTCCATATTTTTTATTATTCTATAACAAGAAAAAATGTTAACAATCAGTGATTTTTCAAGAGCATGTAGAATAAGATGAATTTTGAACTCTTTGCACGGGTTTGTAGTCCAACTATGTGAATAGGATTTACTTTTCACAGTTCACAAATGGTAACAACCACGCACCGTCACAGTACATAACATAGCTATATGAAATAGAAGTAGAAATAATCTTTAATCAAATAAACTTCATATAAGCACTTTTGAATAGTCAAGTTTTTTTATTCTACCGCTCAATCATGAATGTAGATTCATCACAAGAAGAACAAACAAGAAACTTGTGTGTTGCTCTTTAAAATAAATATTGATTTAATTATATTTACATTAACAAGGATTAGGCATGCGACAATCGACCTAGAAACCGCTACGCACTTAATCTCTGTTCAATCAGATAACATTGTCAGCGCTATGAATTTTAAGTTAGATATTTTCTACAAAAACATTATTATCACTTATAAATTCTTCATTTGAATTTCAATAGACGACCTCGGTGGTCTAGCGGTCCAGTCTACCGCTTTACGACCGATGGTTGCGGGTTCGATTCCTCGCACGGCACAAACATTTGTATTCATGAGTATGATTGTTTGTATCGGTCTGGGTATTTTCTATGTATAATATATATGTATTTACGAAAAAAAAATATATCTATGTATTTGTATCAGTTGTCTAGGACCCATAACACAAGCTTTAGCTAGCTTAACTTGGGTCTAGATGGCGCTGTGTGAATTGTCCTGAGATTATTATTATTATTATTATTAATACATATATACTGTACAAAATATTTTCTTTGTAAAAAAGCTTTATAATAAGCTTTTTTACAAAGAAAATATTTTGTACCACATTTGAATTTTTTTTCTGGCAAAATGAGTGGTAGACATTGAAGTTTACGAGACCGCTGCACGTTGGCTGCTATTCAGCAATCAGACATATATCTTGGTAATTCTGGGTGGCGCGCAGGGACCGGAGCGGCAGCGGCACCAGGCCAGCCGGCGCTGCCAGATTCGGCTGCATTTTCGCTGCTTTTATATGTTTTACTAGTTGTTACAGGCGACTTTGTCTGCGTAAAATTTACAGTATATATGTATTCAAATTCAAATTCAAAAATCATTTATTCATGTAGGACATTTTAGCCGCTTATAAACGTCAAGTTTTTACATTATAATTTTTTTTCCCTACCGTCCAGTTCGGTATATAGATCCAATTGAGAAGAACTGACAAGAAACTCAATTGAATTACTTTTTTTTAAAAGCCAGTTTATTTATAGGTATTTATATAGGTGTCTATGTCTAACATTAAATGAAAATCCCGTACATGAAAACTATTGCCATGCACGCTCGTCATTCAAGTAATCGTTTAGTGAGTAATAGGCCTTGCTCAGTAAATATGATTTAACAGATGTTTTCAATTTATTCAAGGGTAATTCCAATATATCCTTTGGTATATTATTGTAATACGATACTTGGGGACAGCAAGTACGTTTATTACAGACTCTTATAAGATCTAATTCGTAGTGCTTTCGAGCTCAGAACAACTAACTAAGAGAAACTCAGCTTTTATTCTTTTCAATAAACCTATTACTAATATTATAAACACGAAAGTTGTAAAAAGTGATTGAAGATGGATGGAGTTTGTTACTCTTTCACGCAAAAACTACTGAACGGATTTTGATGAAACTTTAGAGTAATATAGCTTTTTCTAGAATAACACGTAAGTTAGGAGTATGGGAACGAAAACTGTGACACAAGAATTTTATATATAAGATGTTATTCAAAGTTTAAATGAGTAGTAGTAACGTGAAACATACGTTTAGAATACATTACAGATATCAGGACCATTCTGTAATGTCGGCTAATCGGTTGTCATGTAAATTGCTCCCCGTTTGATCTCATCCCTCGTCTCGCAGACAATACGGGATCATTCGAGTCTAACGCGTATTTCGTACGTTTATTGTATTTGATATGAATGTAGATGTGTTATGTAGGTGAAGGACGGAGGCTGTAGTGGGTTCGATAAATAACTGTATCAGTAAGGTTTTCAATTAAATCAATATTTATTTAAAAGAGCAACACACACGTTTCTTGCTTATTCTTCTTGTGATGAATCTGCATTCCGAATAAGCGGTAGAATAAAAAAACTTGACTATTCAAAAGTGCTTATATTAAGTTTATTTGAATAAAGATTATTTCTATTTCTTTTATTTGTCGGCGATGGTCGTTTAGCGGTTTAGCACACCGCTTTACTTCTGATGGTCGCGGGTTCAATTCCTCGCACGGTGCAAATATTTGTATTATTAAGTACAAATATTACAAAGTGCTAAATTCTACGCGGTCGAAGTCGCGGAAACAGCTAGTATCATGTATAAAGTGAGGTAAATAAATAATGTTTAGTTCATAGTAATGTTTGTGACCGCAATACAGCTCTACAAAGTGCTGTATTACGCTCGTATAGCGCCGGAGTGTTTCCACTAATAACATTATGTTCCAGTTTATACACGGGCGGCTATAAAGGGTTGAAAGCCAGGGGTTGTACCCGTGAATAGGGGTTGTACCGATAAACTGAACAACTTTCATCATGCAACCAAGTGGAGATGCGAAAATTAATTTTTAACTTTTCATCCCACATAGGGCGTAGTTTTTATTAAGTGTTCGAAAATTGTTAATAACTAACTATATTTCGCGACTTTGGTCACCCGCTTTTGGTCACTACCTTTTGTTTGATTCTGTCTAGTAGTTATTGCGTGAACGACTTACAAACATCTACCTTCAGAAATTATAATCTATACACATAAATCAAATTGGAGTGTCTGTTTGTAATATTGAAATAACCGTCTTTTATTACATGCATATGAATAGATATACGATACATATACCAATATAACAATTTTTATATTTTTTGTTTGTCTGTCTGTCGGTCTGTTTGTTCCGGCTAATCTCTGAAATCGGCTGACCCGATTTTGACAGAACTTTTTTTGGCAGGTAGCTGATGTAATAAGGAGTAACTTAGGCTACTTTTATTTTAGAAAAATAAAGTTAAATTCCACGCGGACGAATCGACTATATACTTAATAGTGCACAGACCTTAAGAAAAATGTAGGAGAAGAGACCATGAGACAATAAGAACAATAAAAACTTGAAGGGAAAGAAAATGAAAATTGACAAAGAATTGGAAACTGCCATGTGATTTAATGTTCCAAATGCAAGGAGATCCTACCTATATGTATATTTCTAGTTTTAAGATTAGGATCTTTTTATACCTATCAATATAGTCGATAGAAGCTATCTGTACACATAAGTCTTAAATGTTTCATACAATTGTTTCAGATTAAACCACGCTCTATGTGGTTTCTCACCGTGGTGGTGGCACGCGTGCAATGTAGCGCTGCATGCAGCCTGTTGCGCTCTGGTCGCCCGAACTGGCGCTGTAGTAGCACGGCTGCAGCGGCCATTTGCAGCGCTGGCTGCTCTGCTGTTCGCTGTACATCCAGTGCACACTGAGGCTGTAAGTTTAGAACATACTTTTTATCAATTATTACACATGTTTTATTACATACGATTTTAAACTTGACGCGGTCATTATTTATGTACAACTAGCTGACCCGGCAAACGTCGTTTTGCCATAGAAATTAATATCACTATTAAAAAATAGAGGTTGGTGATAGAAGGGTGAAAATTTAGGGTTGTATGTATTTTTTAATGGCACATAATAAAAATAAAAAAAAAATATTGAAATAATGAAAACAATTTTTTGGATGTAAGACACCCTTAACACTTTATAAAAATTAGTTATAAACCTATTTTCAGACCTATTGAATATACTCATAAAATTTTATCAAAATCGGTCAAGCAGTTTCTGAAGAGTATAAACACGAAACCTGTGACATGAGAAGTTTATATATGCTGCTCGCATCCAATGCCTTCCAGCGATTTTGACCAGATCGTCGGTCCACCTTGCTGGAGGCCTTCCCACGCTGCGTCTTCCGGTCCGTGGTCGCCACTCAAGGACTTTACTGCCCCAACGGCCATCTGGCCTACGAGCTATGTGCGCTGTCCATTGCCACTTCAGAGTCGCAAAGATTATATGATAACCTCTACTAACGAGAAAATAATTCATGACAAAATTACAGTTTTATTTTGAAATATTGCTAAACCGCTAAGCATCGAATGAGTGTAAAAAGTTACAATTGTATGGCGGAGATAACATGACAACCTTTACTAATGGTGTGAAGTTAAAGAACTCACAAGGATCACATATTTCTATCATCTGACAACACTTTCTCTTCCCTCTACCCATAGGTTGTCTGGAAGAAATTGCTTACGCATAAAAACCTTTGTACCTTATTACTCCTATTTATGTTCTTTATAGTTTACTTCTGATGCAATAAAGAGAGCATAATTTATTAATTATAAAATTATAGGTCTATTTTGAAACATTGCTAAATTCCTAGAGCATCGAATGAGTGTAAAAAGTTACAATTGTATGGCGGAGATAACATGACAACCTCTACTAATGGTGTAAAGTTAAAGAACTCACAAGGATCATATATTTCTCTCATCTGACATCACATTACACGCCGACAGCAGCCTTTGAAAGATAATGCCATATCATATATTATCTGTGAGAGCTTTGAACTGTATAATATGATTACGGTGAAACGTGAATTGTAAGATGATTTAGTAATGAAATTTTAAAAGTTATTTTCGTTCGTACTAGACCGATTTGGAAAGGTTGGACGAAATAAAAATTATGAAAGATAATAGACAATTATAGACAATTATTTTTTAGCCTTCTTAAATAATAGTATTGCAATATAGCTCATTCATCACTCATTGTACTAAATAGTTTACTCCAAAAACACAAAGCAATTTTTTGGAGTAAGTGAGTAGCTGGATTTGATCTTTTATTATATGTCATTTTTTTACTTTTCTATTATGAGCCTTTCTGCAAACCAGCTACTCACTTACTCCAAAAAATTGCTTTGTGTTTTTGGAGTAAGCTATTTAGTACAGTGAGTAGCTATATTGCAATACTATTATTTAAGAAAGCTAAAAAATAATTGACAAGAAACTCACATTAAAAAGGTAAGAATTGACATATTAAAAAAGTGTAAAAAATAAACTGTGTAAAAAGAATGTAAAAAGGTGCAATAGTTTCAAAAAAGGCTAACAATAGAAAGGAAAAAAATGATATATTAAAAGAGTATAAAATAAGGTGTGTTAAAGGAATGATAGACAATTTGCTAGCAGCAAGTTAGATAAAATATAATTGTAGGGGTGCATTAGTCTCAAAAAAGGCTAACAATAGAAAGGTAACAAATGACATATTAAAAAAAGAGTATAAAATAAGGTGTGTTAAAGGAATGATAGACAATTTGCTAGTAGCAAGTTAGATAAAAGATAATTGTAGGGTTGCCTTAGTCTCAAGAAAGGCTCACAATAGAAAAGTAAGAAATAACATATTAAAAAAAGACTATAAAATACTGTGTGTAATAAGAATGATACACATTGTGCTAGCAGCAAGTTAGATAATTAGTACATTAGTGAGAGAGTCTTTGATTTTTGTGATTTGCCATGTCGTCTTATAACCAAATATTTTGAGTTAGAATTTAGCTACTTAAAAAAATTCGTTATATACAAAACTGATCCGAGGTACAAAGTATTCCATGTCAAATATTTTACTGTTTATTAGTTGTGTCAATCTAGAATGTATTCTTGTCTATATTGCCTCACAAACTTTCTACAATACTAGTAGCATTACAAAAGTATGTACATTTTATTATTGCTTACGTCAAGTCAAGTATACCAATATTCTTCCATTTTATCTCAGATTATTCTTGCCGTATTCTTGCCTCGTAATACTTGGATGTCACCTCAACAGCGTTGATTGAATTTCGGTCTCGCCCCCTCATATAGATTTTTTATGGACCGTTCCTCTGGATGGAATCTATAAACTGTTTTAGTGCGCCGCAAGCTGACATTGTCTGTGTTATTGTAGTGGAATGTGGTTTGTGTTCCTTTATGAGACAGTCGCTCAAATATTTTTATTATAATAATAATAATATATCGCTGCAAAGTAATATTAATAGTATTAAAAACAGTAATAATAATAATAATAATGTTTGGTCATTTTCACCCGCAATGACAAGTTTATCACCCCATCAAAGGGAGATATACAAAATATATACATAAACAATAATAATAATCTCAAGACAATTCACACATCGCCATCTAGACCCAACTTAGGCTAAAGCTTGTGTTATGGGTGCGATAACTGATACAAATATATATATATATATATATATATACATATTATACATAAAAAAACACCCAGACGTTCCAAACACTCAACGTTAGCGCAGGTGGGTGCACCATTCTGTTATCATCAATAAAAAAATCCACATAAGGAGGGTAAGAAGAAAGATTTTTAGTAATGCGATTACATGCAGTGCCCCCTGAAAACCAACTGACCTGATCTCATGCTCATCCTATCATTCTTAACTGGTGCCCCTCCAGCATATACTGTTAGCGAGGGTGCACTATTCTATTATCATTCTATAAAAAAATAATACCATTACTACTGTTTGCGCCACAACTAGTTTAAATGCACATCTCGTGTAATAGACAAGGACAGACATACTCACGATCTAGGGCCGAAAGGAGCCGAGTACGCCCGCGCCATCGATGGAAAGAAAGATGGCGTTTCTTCTTCGTTTCCCGCTCGTGTCTGAGAAACGCCGCTCGCACATAATTACGTTTTATAATAATTGAATCACTACGATTTAATAAACTATTGAATTGTCAAGGTGTATATAGATAGTGTGCAATATTCAAGGTGTATATACACTAATTTCCGCCGCGCGTGTTGTGTGTGTGATCAGTTCATCGATCATCATCGTCGTCGATCATCGATTCCTGCACCAAGACGCCATAGCAGAAAGCCAGGTACGCTCGTAACTCCTTACTTTGCCCGTGATCTGTGACGACAGTCTTATCGAAGGAATATATCTCTCGGGATACATATCCCTAGGGAACCGCTTTAACATTTTTTGGCCCGTTGCGAACCGGATATTTTGCTATTTTTAAATTGAGTTATATTTAATAACGTACCCCTTTTGCTATTTATTCGCAAGGTCCTTCGTTTAATATTATTATTAAGAAACCGCTTTCAAAATTGATAATATAAAATCCGCTTATTTAGTCTTATATTACTTATTTGTTTCTCAGACATACCCGCGTAGCCATATAGGATTGCCTTGTTATTTCTTTATATTATACCGCAACCAAGCACCTATATGTGTAATAGTTTATTATTTATAAACATATTTATTATATACCGCTATAGAATACCATATGATATCCCGCATTCCTCTGTATTATCTCTTTAGATAATAAATATTTATATCACCGCATTTATAGTATAGTCTTAAAATTGTATCCTATAACTATATTATACATAATATACTTGTACATCCCGCACACCTATAATATACAAATATAAATGTCTATATCCCGCATTCCATTATATTTTATATAGTAATCTACGCAACACTTAACCGTGTTCTCGCTACATACCTACATATAATTTTTATTTTCGTTACTGTCCGCTTACGCTGTCTATTGACAGGTCACTGTATAATTACCTATAGTTATATTGCGTTAAATCATTAGATATGTCACGTAAAGATAAAGATGCGCCTACCTTTTCACCTAGTCGTCAACTTATTATGTTAGAAGCTAAACGTAATGCTTTATTTCAACGAATACAAAGTATTTACGATAAGTCGAAGTCGGCTACGGAATCGGAAGAAAAAAGACGTATGTTTCTTAGTTCATGTATAACCATCGATGACGTTCGTAATAAGTTTCAAGATGTACTTGATGAATATAATAGTAGGATGCTTGATGAGAATCCTTCTGCCGTACCTAATTTTCATGTATATGACTCATTTGAAGATTTGTTTTGTTCAATTAAACAGACATTTTCTGATCTTTCTTCTGCGCCCACGGGTGGGAATTCGTGTGGGATAGATGCACCTGTATCTAGGCCCAGGCTCCCCCCCCTGGAATTAGTCTCCTTCAGCGGCAATTATTAAGATTGGAATTTATTTTACGCTAGTTACAAATCTACTGTCCATGACAACTCCTCACTTACAAACTCAGAAAAACTGTATTATTTACTGGGTAAGTTATCACCCAAAGTACAATCGGTATTTGCAGGTATTACACCCTGCGCCGAAAACTATGAAATTATATTTAAGTCTCTGCTTGATAAGTATCAAGATATTCACGTTCTCGGTTCTAATTACTTAGACCAGATTTTAAATCTTAAATTAGGCAAAATGCCTTCCGCCGCAAGTTTTCAATTATTTATAGATAAGTATGTCACCGCCGCTATGTCATTAAAGGGCTTAGGTATAAAACAATTATCTGATTTCATTTTATTATATATTGCAAAACGTAAATTCGATTCAGAAACATTACGCGCGTTCGAATTACACTCTT